TTTGTGTACTGAAATATTAAATTTATAAGTGCTAGTAGTTTTTGGGGTTGTGTCTTTAGGGATATATTATTTATATGGATATATACACATAAATATTATTTGATGATTTGCAAAGAGGGGATGACCTTTATTTTTTTTCTCTTGCTCAGACTCTCAGTACTTTGTTGAATAAATAGAAGCAACAAGACTGGACATTATTTTATTATTCCACACTTTAAATGAGTACATTTAAATGTTTCCCCAGTAAGTAGCTGTCAAGTGTGTATGAAATGCGTAAGGTAATTTAATTATTTTCATTTATTAATTTTTTTTGGCACTACTAGTGTCTGAACTGGGCTTTGTGCTTGTGAGGCAGATGCTCTGCTCCTTGAGCCACACCTCTGGCCCCTTTTCTTTGTTTATTTTGGAGATAGGGTATCATTTTTTTCTGCAGGCTGGCTTGGAGCATGATTCTTCTATTTTGCATTCCCCACCATAGCTGGAATGACAAATGTGGCCACTGCCTGGGTTGGCATGGAACCACATTCCTCTACATCTCAGCTTCCAAGTAACTAAGATTACAAGCATGAGCCACCAGTGCCCAGATCATTTTCTTGTATACCTGATTTTGTAAAGAGGTTTCACATGAAGAGATATGTAACTGTGTGCAATTATTTTTTTCATCTGTTGAAAATGGATGTATCACAATTACTGATTTGTGTTTATGAAACATCTGGGAAATCCTGGTATGAATCCCCTTATTTGTTTTGAAAGATACTTTTTAAAGGAAAATTTTAATTAGCTTAAGTTAATTAAATTAGTGTAAGTTAATTTACATACTGTATATAATGCACTTTGTTCAAATTTGTCACTCTATATTAACTAAAGTTTTCTTTTTAATCTCCCTCTCATCCTTCCCCATCTTTTTTTAACACTTTTAAAGTGAGCATCATACTATTTTCGTATCTGTCTATCTATCTATCTAATCTATACATCTACTTCTCCCATCTCCTTTCCCACTCATTCCCTGAAATCTCCTTTTTACAATTATTTCATATTATTATTATTTTAGCTCTAGATTCCACATATGTGTGAAAATGTGATATTTTTGTTTCTGAGCTTCACTTATCTTGCTTAATATAATGATCCCCACTTCCACCCATTTTCCTGTAAATGAAATAATTTCATTCTTCTTTATGACTGAGTACTACACATTTCCTTTATCTAATCATAGGTGGTTAGGTTTCTCCTCTGATTTCATAGCTTGCCTATTGTAAATAGTGCTTGTATAAACATGGGCATGCAGGTATCTTTCTTATATGTTGATCTAAATTTCTTCAGGTATATACCCAAGAGTGGCATAACAGGATCATATGGCATACAAGGCTTGGGTCATTTTTACCCCCTGCTCCCACCCCCTCCCTTACCACCCACTCCGCCCCCTCCCTCTCCCCCCCACCCCCTCAATACCCAGCAGAAACTATTTTGCCCTTATTTCTAATTTTGTTGTACAGAGAGTATAAGCCATAATAGGAAGGAACAAGAGTTTTTGCTGGTTAAGATAAGGATAGCTATACAGGGAGTTGACTCACATTAATTTCCTGTGCGTGTGTGTTTTTAATTTCTTAAGGAACCTCCATATTGATTTTCAAACTGTTAGAACTGACCTACCTTCCCAAGAACAGTGTATAGATTTCCTTTTCCCCTTTATCGCCACCAGTATTTGTATACAAAGAGCTCTAAAACTTAAACACCAAAAGAATAAATAATCCAATTAATAAGTGGGTGAACGGATTGAACAGAATATACTCAAAAGAAGTACAAATGGCTAACAAATACATGGAGAAATGTTCAACATCCTTAGTAAAAAAAAATGCCAATCAAAATGATACTGAGATCCTACCAAGGTCAGAAATGCTATCATCCTTTTGTTGCAGTACTGTATTTGGTATGCTAATATTTTATTGAGAATTATTGCATTCATGTCTATTAGTGATATTGGCCTGGAGCTTTCATTGTTGTGCTTTTTTTGGGGGGGGTGTCTGGTTTTGGTCTCAGTGTATTGCTTTCCTCATAAAATGAGTTTAGGAGAACTCTCATTTGCAAAATCTGGATTAGTTTTGGAGGAACTATTGTTAGATTTTCTAGCTGTTTGGTAGACTTCAGCAGCAAAACTTCCAGGTTTTTGCTTTTTAAAATTACAGACATTTTATTACCAGTTCAATTTCCTTACTCCCTATTGGTCTGTTAAGATTTTCTGTTTCTTTATATTTAATCTTAAGAGGATGAATGTGTACTGGAGTTTACTCATTTCTTTTAGATTATCTGATTTTGGGGCACATAGTTTTTCCTAATAATGTCTAATGATCCTTTGTAATTCTGTTATAAGAACTGTCTAGCTCTTTTTTCCACATCTCATTTAATTTATTTGACTCTTATGTTTTTTGTGAGTAAATTCACCTAAAGTTTTTTCAATTTTATTTATTGTTCCAAAAAACAATTATTTCTGTAGTGGTCTTTTAAAATCCTCTTCTCAATTTCATTTACTTCTGCCTGGTTCATTATTATTTCTTTCATTCTGTTAATGTTGAGCTCAGTTTTTAAAATCTGACCTCTTGAAGTATATCAGTAAATTATTTGAGATCTTCCTTCTTTTTTTCCCCTGTATGCCTTTATTGCTAAAAACCTCTGTCCTTGAGCTGTCTTTGCATTATCCCTTGAGTTTTGGTAGGCTGTGTTTCCATTTTCATTGACTCAAAAGTTCAAATTTCACTCTAATTTCTTCATTCTCAAATTATTGCTCAAGAGCATGTTGCATAATTTCTATTTGTTTATGAATTTTCTGAAGTTTTTTTCTGTCTAGTTTTATCTAATTATGAGCAGAAATTATACTTGATATGATTACAGTGTTTTCAAAAATTTTAAGAGTTGTTCAGTGGCCATACATAGGATATATTCTGCTGAAAGTTTAATATACAGTTGAAAAATATATCTACTGGAACAATTAAAAGGAATATCCTACACATTTTTTATCCACTTGGTCTAAAGTATAATTGATGTCCAATGTATTTTCATTCTTTTTGGTTTTCTGTGTAGATGATAAGTCTATTGTTGAAAGTAGGGTGATTAAACCCCTTATTATTTTTGTATCCCATGCTGTCTTTCCCTTTAGATAGTTCAAGATTCACAGTTCAAATATTTTCTCCAATATGCATTCTCCAAAATATGCATTAACTAGTGTTACATACTTTTCTATATTGACTGACTCCTTGTCATGTAAAATATTACCTTTTAAATTTCTTTTCATTGCTGAAGTCATTTTTGTGTGATTCTTTCTTTCTTTTGGTTTGCATTTGTATGAAATATGTTTTCATCCCTTCACTTTCAATCTATGTGAATCTTAGAGCTTGAATCTCAAATTTAAATAGATAAAAAGATACTCACACTATTTTTTGAAATAATGAAGTTGTTTTTCCTTCTAGATATACAAATTAGTCTTTATTCTTATTCTTGCATAGATTAAAATATATTCCCAGCTGGCCAACTTATGTATAGAAATGTTGCCAGGTTTTGGGTCATTATTTACACTTCCTGTACCCTCAATGTCTCAGAAGATTTATCCTTACGATATTTAAGGCTAATGTTAAGAAATTTATCTCTTCATTCTATTCATTTCAGCTTTTAAATAAAAAATTTTAATTATATGTAACTAAGCATACAGAATACTGCACACTTATTCATTATCCAAGAATTATAATGTATTTGATTAACATTTGTTAATTCTACAAAGGGGTAATTGTGATAGCTCCACAAATGGAAATAATGTACTTGATCAAATTTACCCCTTCTATTACTTTTTCTTATATTCTCTCCCCATTGTTTTACAATTTTAATGGCATTCATTATTCTATTTTCATACACATGTACAATGTACTCCAATCATTTTAACCCCACCATCATTATGCATTTGTATAAAAGCATTTACATTGTTATGACTTTACAGGAAATGAAAAAATAGTTTATTCTTACCCTAGTATGAGTGACCAGGGCCCAGGAACATGAATTCAAATTACTCTGAATGACATGTTCCTCCATGGAAAAGGATGCATGAACTCATAGCCGTACAACAAAAAAGGTCATAAATCAATACATTTACCATTGTAAATACAACAAGATCACTGGTGGCATTACTAGACATGTTAGAGTAAAGTGGGGAAATCATTTATATAAGTTTCAGATATTGTCTTATAGAGTTCTTAGCTTTAGAGTTGGTTGAGCTAGATGTCTTCTCATCTTAGCAATATATTCTTAGAGTTTTACTTAATAGGCAAGAGGATGTTGGGACAGATACAGAGATTAAAACCACATAGGACTAAGAGAGCTCAGAATAATTTGGTTCTTAGCATAGAACATTCATTCCATAATCATGACATTCAACTTAGCAAATATCAAGTAGTTTGCAGAATATTTAATATAGAGGGTGCTACTTCAGAGAACCTCAGTTCCACATAATCAATAGCATCAACATAAATTGATTTTGATATGTTTATAAAACTCATGGTTTGTTGAAAGCATAGAGTGTTTCACTCTATGAACTCACAGTACAGCCAGGATGGGCAAAAAACTTGGATCAACTCAGAAAGAGTGATAAAATATTACTCAGATAACACTGATGTAGGAAGCCTATTAATGAATGTTTGTCATTTACTGTTATGATGATTATCCTGAAAAAATCAACTTGAATTATAATTGTATTGTTATTTTTTAAGTTACCTCACACAGTTCTCACAGTAGGAGCTATGCTAGAACAATTTAATATAAATCCATAATCAGCATGTCCCTATAGCTATATATTAGCTGAGTATTATCTTTATTTAACATGATTAAAAAGAACATGAGAAACATTACCGGTTTTGTAAGAACATGAAACATGAGACTGAATTTTGGTCAAGGATGAATTATTAAAGAAACCCATGTAAACCTACTCCAACTGTTAAATAATTTCATTTGACGTCTACCAACTATGGCTTGGGTCTGAACATAACTCTCACCAGTTTGCCTAACGCTGCCTTTATATCCTTATTCCTCAGGGTGTAGATGAAGGGGTTGAGTATAGGAGTCACCACTCCATAGAAGAGAGCCATGAACTTGGGCTGGTCCCTAGAGATGGAGGAGGGAGACTGAAGGTACATGCTAATAGCTGGGCCATAAAATAAAAGAACAACAATGAGATGAGAGGAACATGTCCCAAAGGCTTTTCTCCTTCCTTTGGAAGATTTGATCTTCAGTATAGCATGTCCAATACTTGCATAGGAAGCAAGAATTAAGCAGAAAGGAACAGCTATTAAAAATATGCATATCACAGAGAGTGCCAACTCGTTAGTCTTTTTTTCACCGCAGGCCGTCTTTATCAGAACTGGAATCTCACACAACAAGTGATCCAGTTTATTGACGCCACACATTGGCAACTGTAATGTGAGGGTGACCTCAAAAATCGCATAGGATATTCCACCCAGCCACACAAAAGTTGCTAATAGGATGCAGATAAGTCGATTCATAATCATAGTGTATTGCAGAGGTCTGCAGATGGCCACGTAACGGTCAAAAGACATAACAGCCAAGAGCAGACATTCTGTGGCTCCCATTGTGCTAAATAAATAAAGCTGAAGTGCACACCCCATGTAACTGATGGTTTTCTTAGAGCTTCCCAGGTTAAACAGCATCTGAGGGACAATGCTTGTGGTGTAACACATGTCCAAAAAGGAGAGGTTGGTGAGGAAGAAATACATGGGGCTGTGGAGACGGGGGTCTAACTTGGACACCAAAATGATAGTGATGTTTCCCATCATGGCCATGGGGTATGTGATCAGAAGAATAATGAATAGAGGGAGCTCTAGCCAAGGTTGGTTAGCAAAGCCTAGTAGAATAAACTCTTCAGGGTGGCTTTCATTTCTTACTGCCGTTCTCTTCAACTTGTTCATCTATAATAAGGAAGTGTCAAAAATGGAAGAATTATAAAGAGGCTAAAGTATAATTATCCATTGAGTATCCATAAATAGAAGATGGGATGCAAAAACTTATGGAGTAAATAATATAGCTGCTTTGGTAACAGGTGATGAAACTTCCCCTTATGACAGTAGAAATAAAATCCACAGAACTTCAACATGCATGCTAATCATTCTGAAACTAAATTTCCTCTTCTGTATAATAAGTCTGACAATAAGTATTATCTTGAGTTCTGTGAGGAGTAAGTGAAAAGTAAAATGACTATGTTTTGGAAACTCCAAAATATTTTTTAATCTTTTGCTGTCAAAATACTCACTGATCAGTTATTAGCACAAAGTTATCTAGGTATTTGATAGAGTAGATGTGGCAAGGGGCATGGAAAGAGATGGTTTACTTTTAGACATATGGCTGCAAGGAATTACAGAACTAATAAGATGGGTAAAATACCGATATAGCAAGAGAAGAATTTGGAAACCAGGAGTGACGGCTCACGCCTCTAAGCCCAGCTACTTGAGAGGAAGAGATCAGGAGCATTGCAGTTTGAGACCAATCTGAGCCAAAAGTTAATGAGACTCTATCTGAAAAATAAGCCAGGCACTGTGGTTCACCCTTGTGATCCTAGCTACATGATAGGGATAGATGGGAAGATTGCAGAAATTGTTGGGGGCATGACTCAAGTGGCAGAGCACTGGTCTAACAAATATGAGGCCTTGAATTCAAACCTCAGTAACACACACACACACACACACACAGCAATTTGGATAGAATCTGGAACTATGGAAATTATCAATAGATTCTTGTCCAACTCACATAGACAGTAGCAGAATCATATCATTTCTATGGGTAGTAAGAAGAGTTTGAGTTTAAACAACTATTTCTTAGCTCTTTGGAATGAACAAAAAGTTCAAACACTTTTTGTTGAGACCTGGTCTTATTGTGTAGTCCAGGCTGGCCTTGATTTCGATTTTCCTACATCAGTTGACCAGGAATTATAGTTTCCTTAAGTATAAATTGAAGTATTTAAGCTATGACATAGGTTTGCTATTGTTTAAGAATGTGTTTTGGTATGAATGACTATTTAGTTGCAACTTTGGCCATTTGTTTTTTATTTTAAATTTCAGCTAATTTATCTTTTATTATTGATTTTTCCATTTTAAAGTGAGGCTACCACATTGCTATAATGAAGAGTTGGGGGAATTGTCAGGGACCCAGTGGGTACATACAGGTACAAACATACTTTTTTTGCCATGCTATGGATCAAACCCATGGCCTGGGCTTGATACTCAAATGCTCTAGTAATGAGCTACTTTCCTGTTTCTTTCCGTTGCTGTCGAGAGGGTCTCATTATGCACCCCAGATCGCCTTTGAATTTGCTAGGTAGCCTAGGCTGATCTGATCTGCCTCCTCCTCCACAGTGCTCAATTATAGGTATAGGCCACAGCAACAACCTACAAATATATTTTTACAAAACAAAACCAAACAGAAAAACCTCTTTATTGCTGTTGTCAATATGTCAATTTAGGCTCAGAGGCTTATTTAAATTCACAAATTATTTAACATTTTTGGGACATACAGTTTCCTTTGATTTCAAGTTAATGGCACATTTTTTTTATTCTTTTATTATTCATATGTGCATACAAGGCTTGGTTCATTTCTTCCCCCTGCCCCCACCCCTTCCCTTACCACCCACTCCGCCCCCTTCCTCTCCCCCCACCCCCTCAATACCCAGCAGAAACTATTTTGCCCTTATCTCTAATTTTGTTGTAGAGAGAGTATAAGCAATAATAGGAAGGAACAAGGGTTTTTGCTGGTTGAGATAAGGATTGCTATACAGGGCATTGACTCACATTGATTTCCTGTGCATGTGTGTTACCTTCTAGGTTAATTCTTTTTGATTTAATCTTTTCTCTAGTGGCACATTTAAAACAAAATTCTGTATCCAGGATCACTCCAGTATGTTTTCAGCAATTTTATTAAATTTGCATTATTTAGAATTTTATTCCTTTATTCATGTTAGGTGTAATTTTATCTGTGAATGTTGATCACTTCATATCCCTGGTTATTTCTATAAAGAAACAAAAGAAAGTGTGATCAATCAGTTAGATTGGTTCTCAACTATATTTACGCTCTATAATTCTATCATTAGACCTCCCATCTTTGCCATGTCATTGTCACTTTTCATTATTTTTGTCTCTTGGATTTAATCCACTATTTGGATATTTTATTTTCAATCATTTTTTCCATCCCTACTTCATTACACAGAAATGAATGTTTAAAGTCATGTGAATTAACTGACAGACTCTTTCCTGTTGACATCTTTTTTGTATCTCCTTGCAGATTTTCATTCTAGTTTATTTTAGTCATAATTCATTTTATCATGTACAGCATTTTATCTGTACATATAGCAGTTTTTAACAGCATAAGGAGTAAAAGATCACAGGAGAACTTAAAAGTCATTTTTGCCTATGACCCAAACATCCCACTGAAACATATGGCAAATTTAATCCATGAAATTTTGGACGTATATTAAAAGTGATTCATGTTTTACAGTCACATGATTGTATGAAAGCTTCATCCTTCACTCCAGTGTTTAATGGCTCTGAGAAATACTCTTCGTGAAATTTAAATGTGTTTTTTTTTGTATGTAAGACTACAAGAGAAAGACAAATTATAAGGACAAATGCAGTTGTTTCTAGAGCCACAGTACTAGATATTTCTACTTTAGAAAGGCTTCCTCAGAAGACCAAAAATCGTATGTTCTCCCTCATATGTGGTCTTTAGGTCAAATACAGCAATGTTGTCAGACTTGGGTTACATGACAAGGGCAGAGCATACACGGGAGGTATGGGGTTAGATAGAAAACCAAAACATGAAAGTATTTGATGTCCCCACTCCAGAGGAATTAATACAGAAACCTTAAAGCAACAGAGGTCAACAGAAGGGGATCAGGAACTAGTGAAAAGATCAGTTATAGATGAATCAACATGGGTAGTAATACATTTGTACATGAAAGCAATGCTAGGAATCTCTCTGTATAGCTGTCCTTATCTCAACTAGCAAAAACGTTATGTCTTTCTTATTATTGCTTATTTCTACTCTTCAATGGAACTGGAGAAAAGCACAGAACAGGTTCTGCTTGGGAGGGAGGGGGTGGGGGGTGAAGGTTGGGGTGGGGGCAGGAGGGAGAAATGACCCAAACAATGTATACACATGTGAATAAATGAATAATTAAAAAAAAAAGGCTTCCTGAAGAGAAGTGCTCTGTGTTAGGCACTGTGAGCTACACATACTGAGACCTTCTCCAAGAATGCACATCCACTTACCTTATTTTGCGCTTTTACTTACCTTATTTTATAAATATCCTTCACAAAAGGGAGTTGTAAAAGAATATGCTTATTTTCACCCTTTCAGAGAAAGACCAAGAAATTATTGTCCCCTGATGCATATTAAGAATTAGCTTCAGAAGTGTCTATGTTTTAGTTGCTATGTTGCTGTTAGCTGTCTTATTGTATTTTCCTTGGATCTCTTGGGTATTATTTTTATATAGGCTATTCATTATCCAGAATAGTTTTCTCCCAGATGAGTTAATAGACAAAGATCCTTGGGACAGAGTTCTTCATGGAAATGCTTCTTATGCATAATTAGTTACATACTGAACTGAAGCTGGGTGCAAGTCTCTTGTTACATATTCAAAATTAGCTCATTCAATTTCCCAACAAATTATATTTTAATTTTAATAAGATACTGTTAATAGTAAGCAAATACATAAATAGTATACATAAGTTCAGAGCTAGTATGAATTGATTGTGAGGAATTTAAACAAGAGTTCTTTGAATATTTTGCTTTATTGATTTTCAAAATATTTCATAAAAGGTATCATTATTTCTAGCCATAATAATAAAGGCACTCAATATTAGTAGGATCAACAAAGATGATCTTTCCAACTTATAGGCTTTGAGCACAATTTATGAGCTTCAAAGTATTTAATGGATTCATCACAAGGAACATGAAATGACAATCTCTTCTATGTCTTTTCATCTCTCTCTCTCTCTCTCCATACACACTATATATTAGTACTTAAATGTGTAGATAGTATTAAGATGTAACAAAATTAGAATGTAGCTGTAACAATACAGTCAAGGTTCTGAGTTCAAATCCCAATACTGCTGGGGATAAAAAAAAAGATGTACCAAAAATTGCATCCATAATTTATGAGTACATTATTTTGAAGTGCAAATTCAAATACCTCAAATAGCAGTTACAAAGGGAAAGAACTGCCTCTCACAACTTGTTGTGTGATCTATAGTTTCTGTCCTAATCTAAATGTAATTACCAGTCCTGTATGAATACATATTTTTCCACATTGCATATTTGCTGTACTTTTTGCGCTCCTTCCACTGCTGCAGACTCATTCTTCAACTCAGTAAATACTCTGTCAAAAGATGAAATAGCAACAAATTTATTTATATCTCACTGACTTTTTTTTCAAGATTCATGAATCAGTACAGCCTCCATTGTAGACAATACATGAGAGTTCCCACTGAGCAATGGCAGAACACAGGGTTTTGGAAGTTGGGGACAAGGAAACAGAAAAATAGAAAAAAAAATGATTGCTTAATACCATTCATTGGAAGCTATTTATTTATTTATTTTTGGAAAGGTTTAAAGCAGAGTAGAAAATGCTATTTCACTTCATCAGATTGAGTAGATTATTCTCTTTTCAAGAAACAATGTCTGCTTTGGGATTGAGTACTTAATGTTTCAGACTGACTATGTGGTATTCAGCACGGATGACATTTAGCAGAAGCTTAAAGATTAGCCCGTCACACTTTCTGATCAGTTGCTTCAATCCGTACTGTTCCCTAGAGACCAAATCAAGAAGGTTCCTTGGCATCGGATTCTGGATGTGTTCAGCTGAGGAGATTTACAACTAGAGATTTGGAGCACAGGGCACAGCTAATTTAAGGTATGTTCC